ATGTCTTGTGCAGACTTTTACATTATGAACTAGCACATTAAAAAAATCATGCATTTTTAATTATCCATCCATCCTTCAAAATCAAAACTTCTTTTACAGGTCCTGGTTATACATGTGGAGGGGGGAGGTAATTGTTTAGAAACTGAGTACAAGCCTCAAAAATCAAACATTAAAATATAAATAATCATAAATGAGAAAAAATATAGAAATCAATCACAAAAAAATGAGAAAATATGACAAACTGCAAAAACTATGTAATTATTTTCACTTGAGTGGTCTCAGATGCTGAATAATGCATTTATAATATATAAACAAAACCAATAAATATAACTGACAGCCATTAATTTGTATGAATGTAAAGAATGCAGAGTCAAAACAAACCATCTAACTAAACATTTTTATTTCTAGTTCATATTGCACCAAAAACTCAGTACTTAAATTGTTTAATAGGGGATTTTTTTTATTCCCTTTTAGTGTTTGGCCATCAAAGTCCTACTTAATATGTTTCTAACCAGAAAAAATCATTTCACAAAGGACTTATAATTCTTAACCAGTGTACATAACTTAAAAAATATATGTAAACTGAAGCAAGTCTTATGGGTATCTTGTGAAACCATACATCATACCTTTGGGACCTCTCAAATAACAATAATTTCACAGTTTTTTTTTATATTTCTTCAATTACAAAACAATAATTGAATGCAAGAAAAAATAATGAAATAAATATTTATAATTTGAATAATAAAGCATTAAAAATTAATTGCATTTATAATTCATTCTGCTTATAAGACAAATATCTGCTGATTTTTTTACAAAAGATAGCAACAGTTCATCCAATGGTTTGCAGGATTGTAGTCGGAGGATTTTACCACACAAGGAAGGCAGCAACAGCAACTCTTTCGACTGAAAAAGAAAGTTAAATTTCAATTGTTGATTCTTGATTTTAAAATAATCTAATGAGAATAAAGAAACAGACATCAGTGTATGTTAAACAATTTGTTTATTACTTATATTGATTACTCAAAAATATATAGTATCAAAAATATCCCGATTTTATTGTTATCTCCCCTTCATATATCTTCTTCAGATCTAGTATCTGCTTTTAAGGGTACATTATTTTAAAATGAAAAGATTGAATACTGATTTTTTTTAATTGTAAATTAAAAAAAAATATATATATTGAAATCTATTTAGTGACATTCATCACACTATAACATAAACACATTAAAGTTGTATGTTGATGAACAAGTTCTCACCTTATAACAGCTTTATCACAGCAAGTAACCCAATGGAAACCTGATGCTAACCTGGAATATAAAAGTAATCAGTTATACTAAACTTTCCTAAAATAAACAGCTGCGCCATGAGCGCATGATACGCCCGTCGTCTTGTGTGTGAATTTTTATGCAATAAGCAAAAATAGTTTCTGACATACGGCGTGACATGTGAAAACCCCCCTTTTTTTTTACAAAAAAAATCAATATCTCTAAAATAAAATTTTGAATCAAAACTAAAAAGTATACAGATCTTTAGATTAATATAACTAAGTAGTGTGTAAAATTTTAAGCAATAATCATAAATCATTTTTGAGATACGGCGCTACATGTGAAAACCCCCCCTTTAAAAAAAAAAAGATCAATATCTCAAAAATAAAGTTTTGAATCAAAACCAAAAAGTATACAGATCTTTAGATTAATATAACTAAAAAGTGTGTAAAATTTTAAGCAATAATCATATATCCTTTTTGAGATACGGCGCGACAGGTGAAAAAAACCACACACCTGTTTTAGTTACTAAGTCCCTTAACTCAAAAAGTTTTAATCTTATTTTCACCAAAAAGTATACAGATCGTTTGACCATCATAACAAAAAATCATGGAAAAAATATTTGATATTCTGAATTAATTATACTTAGTTTTATATTTACCAAAAAAATTCAACCGGTATCTATCAGTGTAAAATTATTTTTTTGGTACTAAAGAACCTTATGAAATTGATTTCAAATATTATATTACTAAAAAGATGCTTGATTACCTACCAACATGTTAACAATATCAGACATCCAAGTCTTACTCCCAACACCATGAAAACATCATCATTATAACAACCTAAATATAAAAAAAATAAAAAAATAATTACTTGTTTTACAGATCAATCTGTCTCTAAGAAGACTAACAAAATAATGCTATGTTTCATTTATTAAAACCTGTTATACATTATCATCTTCATTATATAAACTTTTAAACTGCACGTATATGTATATGACAATGATTTTGGAATATTCAATTACAAAATCGGATGGTTTTGTTCTCTTTTGATGGTTCTTAAAATCATTTTCATAACAGCGTAGACAACCCCAATACTTATTTTGGTAATAATACTAACTCAATTACTGTAAATTCAGAAACTATTGCAATGTTTTTATTATTGCGAAAAATGCAACATAGTTGTATTGGCAATAATTTAAACTAGCATTTTGAATTTTTTTATATGAATTAAACAGGATTTTTCTCAATATCGCAAAAATTAAAATCGCATTTTAGTCTAAAATTACAAAATCGCAGTTAATGAATGGTTATTATTCATTTTGAATTTATTGAACCATAAAATTTATTTTTGACTTCACATTGAATAATCCACGAAGCGGATTATGTAAAATGTGAAGAGTCAAAAATTAATTTTATGGTTCAATAAATTCAAAATAAATTATAGCCATTCATTATAAATAAATTTCTATCAAAAATAAGGCTCAAAGAACTTTTAATATTATTTATATTAACCATAACGTACACGGATGTTGGCTTATGAATATACGTTGTCAGAGTGGGCGTGTCGCCATAAAAATTGACAACATTGAAAATAAAAGTAATACTTTTAACCAATCAGAAGACAGTAAATACACCAAATTTATTTATTAATAATTGCACACAATTTTTTTCTGAATTTACAGTACCTTTAACTTGTTTGCCATTGGCTATCGATAACAGTGATTTTACGCTCAGAGGCCTTCCAATAGGGATTTAAATAGAATAAAAGAGCAAAGTACATGTAGGCACAAGAGAAGAAAAAAAGAAAATAATTATTCAACATTTAAATCAACACACAAGGTTTAGCCCTCTGCTAGTAATTCGTACTATTTGATGAAGGCATTTAGAACCTTTGGCGACCCGAGTTTAAGTGTCTATAACACATTCAATGTGACAAGTGGGCGTTACAAACTTTCACCTTATCTGACCCAGTCAATAGATCACATAAGAGGCCAAGAAATCGTCTTGTCCACGCTTTTATGAAAATGATTCTATATCAATTCAATATTCAAACAGTTACAGACTTTGCATAAAAATTTGTTCGACCCAAATAAGTTTACAAATTCATTGATAATAACTTGCATACAGTTGGTTTCTATCCAACACAGCTCACTCGATACCAGACAGAAAACAAATGTAAGACTAGATACTCTAAAAATCAGACACTGATAGAAAAGAACCCTTAAAAAATAATGTTAAATGCCTATATATATATTATTACCATAAAATTTGTGGAATATATAAACTTACCACATATATTTCATGGTAAAGCCTCAGACTTGGTGAAGATTAAATTGACCATCTCCCTTAGAGCTGCTCTCCCGCTGACAAGGTGGCTCTCCTCATCATCTTAACATCTTTTTTTTTTTAATATAGTTTTATACATTAAATATATCAGATGCATTTCCAATAAATCCCCTTTCTTGAAAATTTCAGCAAATCAATTGTTAATGACCACCCTGCATACTTATTATCTAGAGCTCTGCTTATATTTATTTTTTTTTATTACAGAGCTCTAAATAATAATCAATATTAGCTAGTATACATCTGATATTAAAAAAAAAAATACAAACATGAATATCCAATTAAATGAAAATCCTAACATTGAGGGAATTTCAAGTATGTGGAGTTAAACAGGGGTATAATAAATTGCCCCCCTATGACCCAAATTTCACCCTGTTGGGACTCCACATCCTTGTTATATTAAACAAAATAAATAAAATAGTACAATTAAAATTAAAAAATAGATTGATAACAAAAATCTAACACATTTCGATAAAATATTTCGTACTGATCGACTTATGGTGGCAGAGTGGTCCTATAAGTAGTTCAACTACTGTATCACTAGCCTGTCAACACGGAGAACCCTCACATGAAATGTGTAACTTCATTCTTAATTTGACTAGGGTTTGCCCGTTTCCCTGATGAAGGTGATGTTTTCACCAGGCACTCTGGCTGTCTCCACAAATAAAAATTTACAGCCAAAATTATAGTAAATCATGTTAAAGTGGTGTTTAACACCAAAAATCAACCAATCCAATTTCAACAAGATGTTCTTCAACTATGCCTTTTGTAAAATTATTCTTTAAAAAATATCACCTTGGTTACAAACCAAAATCAGCTAAAAAAGACAAAAAAAGTGCAAAAAATATATTCTAACTTCTTAACTTCGTAAATTCCTCTGCATTAGAGCACCCTTGTCACATATCTTAAAGATATTAAAATTAACATGAAAGAAAAGGTTGTAAGGGGATATATTTACTGCAGACCATTATTCATCTTTTTAGTTTACACTAGAGAGGCATTTGCTATGGTAAGGTATGTTGAAACGTTGCTAAAAAAAACAAAAATAATTAAAATTTTTGCGAAGAAATTTAGTGGGAATATTCACATCAGCAGATTTAATTGCATTAACTACATGTATAAAGTAACTTGTAAAATTTTAAAGTATCTCAAATCCTAAAATAACAAAAAGATGGCAAAAATATATACATTACAATTTGCCAAAAAAAATACATTTCAATAATTGAACATTTTTTTTTCTTTTTTCTTTCTTTTTCTTTTAGATTATCCATTCTTAAACTGCTGGAAGTGTTTTGACTAGACATGAGTATAAACGGAAAATAGAAAGAATTTTTGTAATGTCAAATACAAGTTAACCTACAACTTCCGATCTTGTTGAAAATGGAAAATCTTTACATATTTTTTTTTTTTTTTTTGTAAAAAAATTATAAACATTTTCTCAAGCATACACAAAAATAGTCTGAATTACATTCTTTACTGTTGCAGTTATATCACACAACCATTTTATGCAGCCACAGTTATCTGAAAAAGAAATATACATTACTCATGAACATTGAAATAATGTTTAACGCAAAACAATTATAATTAACTGAGCATTACAATTATAATGTATAGAACATTTCTTTTTCTTTGTTATATAGTGATTTGTTGACATAAATTTTAAAGTAACAGTATTTCTTAGCAATAAAAGGATGAAAAACAAGTCATTGGCTGATGTCTTGACAAATATCTTTTTAACATTGTTTTATAGCTATATATAGTATATCAGGCTATTAACATACTTGATTGAATTTTTAACATTTAGTCATGTTGAACCTTTATAGCTAACTATACAATATAGGTTTTGCTCATTGTTGAAGGCATAGGGTGACATTTAGTTGCATCCACATCATTTGGTCTCTGGTTGATAGCTGTCTCATTGGCATACATACCACACTTACATATTTTCATATATGGGGACAACTATAGATAACAAAAAAACTGAAATCCCATGATTTCGCATTATACATTATACATTTTGACTTCCCTTATATATCTTTATATCTCCTCCTAAATTGTTTATTCAACTATAAGTAAAGAAGACATTAATATGTAAGATTTACATCTGTGCCTAACAAAAATCTTGGGCTTTAAAATGCTCTTGGATGAAAAGTTCATAAATCTATGTATTGATTCTTACCATAAAAGTCAGCTCCAATGCCCACTCCCAGCTTCAATCCTTACAGACAAGCTGTGATGCTTACCTGAAATATAAAATGATAATTCATTAATAAAACCCTGTAACTCGGAAACGTAAAATCTAAAATTTATAAAAATCTAAAGGGAGCTCCTGTCAATAGATATAAACAATTCACCACAATTTCTTGCAAGTTGGTGAAAGCATTCTTGAGTTATTTTCCTAAAACTGGAAAACCCCCCTTTTTTTAATGAATAAAACCCCACAACTCGGAAACGTAAAATCTAAAATTTATAAAAAACGAAAGGGAGCTCACGTCAATAGATATAAACAATTCACCAAAGTTTTATGCAAATTGGTTAAAGCTTATTTGAGTTAATGTCCTACATGTTGACGACGGACGGACAGACGGACAACGGTATACCATAATACGTCCCGTAAACGGGCGTATAAAAACTGTTTAAAGGGTTCTTTGTTCGTATTATGTACGTATATTGAATAGATTGAATGATTGGTTGTTGGTTGCTTAAGGTCCAGTGGCAAATCATTAAATAGAAATGTCTTAAAATGTGTTATATATGTCAAGAACATATGGATGAGACAGCAATCCAATTAGCCAACACATTTTTATGTAAACAATTCAGATCCTAAACTTTAACTCTTATTTGGTTACTGATATAATAATAAGAGTAGATTCCTGTAAAAAATCTTTTAAGTGTTCAAATCTTGTTTTTCCATAAAATATTTATAATACATTTGAGTTTTCCAAAACAGGACTAACATACTGGTACATACCTTTGTATTAGCTGTGTAAGACCACCAAGTCTTATTCCCACACCATGAAAACATGTCTCAGAAAGAACCTGAAATGAAATTATAATCAACACATTATACATTTTGTAAATCAATTTGTGTGTTTCTGATTTCTTATTGCAGGTAGACAATTGTATAAAATCATTTTTTTTTTTTAAATCAATATAAAAGATAGAAAAGTAAAAAAACGTCAAGATTTAAATTTAACTGCACAAAAAATATCTGAATAGTTTACAAAGTTATCTCCCATTGAATGCAAAATCGTGTTTTAAATTGTACTGGTCTTTTCTTGAAGTTTAATGACTATTTTTAGGATTTACTATTGATATTTCAATAGAAAATCTTGTTCATGTATCTTGTTTCTTTAAATACTAAACTGGTAAATTAATTCATCAATGGTGTTTTAAATGCAATATTTCAGAAGGGTCTGTTATCTTAAAAGATCTGGCTAAAATAAACTTGCCTTTTCTATTTTCATGGTAAAGAGTCAGACTAGGTTGAAGATTTAATTGACCATCTTCCTAAGAGCTGCTATCCTGGCTGACAAAGTGGTTCTTCTCAATATCTTATTGTCAATCTATGTTGTGTCCATTTGTTTTTAGAAAATATAGTAACATACATAAAAAATATCAGATGCACTTTCAATTAATAAACTTTTTGAAAAATTTCACGTAATTATTTTAAGTGACACACAATTTTTCCCACCCTAAATTTCTTTTATCTAGAAAACATCTGATATGTAAAAAAAGTGCATAAATGTGAGTATCCAAGTAAATAAAAATCTAACATTGAGGGAATTTCAAGTATTTGAAGTTAAACACAGTATAATAAATTACCTCCCTTTGACCTAAATTTCACCCTGTTAGAACTCCACATCTTTGTTATAAATAACAAAAAAACATAAATAGTATAAATCAAAATAAAAAAATAATTAAATTACAAAAATTCAACACATTTCAATAACATATTTAGTGCGGATGGAGTAATGGTGGCTGAATGGTCAAAGTAGTTCAACTACTGTATCACTAGCCTGTCAACAATCTGAACCCTCACATTGTAGGTGTGTTTAACATCAATCTTAATTGACTAGAGTTGCCAGTTTCTCTGTTGAAGGGGATGTTTTCACCAGGCTGTCTCCACAAATAAAAACTGGCAGCCAAGATATAGCAAATCATGCTGAAAGTGGTGTTAAATACCAAAAATCAATCAATCTACTTTCATGAAGATATTCTTCAACTATGCTTCTTATAAAATATTCTTAAAATAATATACCCTTTGTTATAAACTCAGCTTACAAGAGTGCACACGCTGAAATGTCTCGCCTTCTTTACTAATCACTGATATTATGTTGATAGTCCTAAATATAAAGCTTTATTACAACTGTCACATAAACTTAACATGATCCAAGAAAATGAGGTCAAGGTCAGATAAATCAAGCCAGATATACATGTACACCTTACAATCATTCCATACACAAAATATAGTTGACTTATTGCTTATAGTATACAAGAAACAGATTTAACCAAGAAAACTAAACATTGACCAATGAACCATGAAAATGAGGTCAAGGTCAGATGAACCATGCCAGGCAGACATGTACAGCTTGCAATCCTTCCATACAACAAATGTAGTTGACCTATTGCTTATAGTATTAGAAAAACAGACCAAAACACAAAAACTGAACACTGAGCAATGAACCGTGAAAATAAGGTCAAGGTCAAATAAAACCTGCAAGACTGACATGTACATCATAAAATATTTCCATACACCAAATATAGTTGACCTATTGCATATAGTAGTAGAAAAAAAGACTAACTCAAAAACTTAACTTTGACCACTGAACCATGAAAATGAGATCAAGGTCAGAAGACACCTGCCAGTTGGACATGTACACCTTACAATCATTCCATACACCAAATATAGTAGACCTGTTACATACAGTATAAGAAAAACAGACAGAAACACAAAAACTTAACTATAACCACTGAACTATGAAATTGAGGTCAAGGTCAGATGACACCTGCCAGTTGGACATGTACACCTTACAGTCCTTCCATACACCGAATATGCTAGACCTATTGCTTATAGTATCTGAGATATGGACTTGACCACCCAAACTTTACCTTGTTCACTGATCCATGAAACCAGGTCGAGGTCAAGTGAAAACTGTCTGACAAGCATGAGGACCTTGCAAGGTACGCACATACCAAATACAGTTATCCTATTATTCATAATAAGAGAGAAATTAACATTACAAAAAATCTGAACTTTTTTTTCAAGTAGTCACTGAACCATGAAAATGAGGTCAAGGACAATGGACATGTGACAGATGGAAACTTCGTAACATAAGGCATCTATATACAAAGTATGAAGCATCAAGGTCTTCCACCTTCTAAAATATAAAGCTTTTAAAAAGTAAGCTAACGCTCCTGCCGCCGCCGGATCACTATCCCTATGTCGAGCTTTATGCGACAAAAGTCGCAGGCTCGACAAAAATGACACAAAAAAATATATTACAATTTGCAAAAATAAAAAACATTTCAATAATTGAACATTTTTTTCTTTTTCTTTGTTTTTTTTTTTCTTTTCTTTTTTTTTTTTTAGATTCTCCATTCTTAAACAACTGGAAGTCTTTTGCCTATACATAAGTATGAACAGAAAATAGAAAGTAATTTTTGAAATTTCAACGACCTATTAACCTACAACTTCCAATCTTGTTGAAAATGGAGAACCTGTACATAATTTTTTTTTTTCTTTTTGTAAAAATTATAAACATTTTCTCAAACATACACAAAAATAGTCTGAATTACATTCTTTACTGTTACAGTAAAATCACATAGCCCTTTTATGCAGCCACAGTTACCTGAAAAAGAAATATACAGAATTAAACGTAATTGTCAAAATCTGAAAATTGAAACAATATCAAATGCAAAATAATAAATAACTGGTCATTATAATCATGATTCATGAAACCTTTCTCTTACTTGGTTTAAAAGTGATTTGGTGATATTTTTTTTGAACTACCAGTCTTTATTAGCAGAAAAGGATGAAAAACAAGTCAATGGTAGATGTCTTAACATATTTCTTTTTTGACATATTGTTTTTTTTGTATTGGTTCTTACCATAAAAGTCAGCTCCAATGCCCACTCCCAGCTTCAATCTTTACAGACAGGCTGTGATGCTAACCTGAAAAATGAAATTAGTCATTCAAGATTTTTTAAAAGGATCATTTTTGATATACTGTATGTATATTCCATATTTTGAATGATTGATTCATTTGAGTGTTGGTTGCTAAATGTCCAGTGGCAAATTAAATAAAAGTCTAAATATGTAATAGAAGTTGAGAACAGCAAACCAGCATCCCAACAAACTTTTACATAATCTAATCAGATAATTAAATTTACTCCTTTAAAGGCAATTAAAGAAAGCAAAGACTTCTTACCAAACTCCTACAAACCTTCACGCTTAGAGCACATGCTATTTCCAAATACATTTTATAATACTTTTTCTTTTTTCAAAACAGGACTAACATACTGGTACATACCTTCGTATTAGCTGTATTAGACCATCAAGTCTTATTCCCACACCATGAAAACAATATCACAGAAGAACCTAAAAAGAATTAAAAAAAGACACATTATATATTTTACAAATCCATTTCTCTATAAATATGAAGTCACTATATAATGTTCTGATTTCTTACAAAATGTACACAATAGTATCAACACAAGTTTGTAAGATAAACTGTTGACAGAGATGTCTCGCCTAGCAGCGGAAAATGAAAAACATCTGATGATTAGCAACATTGCTAATTAATTCGATAATTTGTTAGTAATGCAAATAAATACAAATGTCATTGATCTATAGCAAGGAGTAACTATTAACCTGACTAAACAGAAAACTTGACATAATAAAAATAAAACAAGTCAAAGGTTTTTGTTTGGAATTTAACTGAAAATCAATGTGCAAATTTAAGTTATATCCCATTGAATGAACAAATCTTGCTGTTAATTGTACTTGTCTCCCCTTGAAGTTTTAAATATTTTGATCGAAAATCTTGTTCAAGAAAATGGTAACTTAAATTATAAAACTTATTAAAATTAATACATCAATGGTGTTTTGCATGCAGAAGATCAGAAGTGTGCTGGCGTGTTGTCTTAATATGCACTTCTTGTCGAATATTTCTAGAAAATGTATACAAATATTTGGCCTAAATAAACTTGCCTTCTTAATTTCTTGGTAAAGC